ACATGAAATATAAATTTGGAATGCAGTTTGGGGGAGCCAGAATGGGCTTAGCTTTAGTAACTGAGCTTTCCGAATCTCTGGATCTCTAGCTTTTTATTAACACACTGGAGACCCGGTGCATGAAATTCCTGCATGGGGAAGGGGGTCCCCTCAGCCCAGCCTGCACCCTCTCCAATCCGGGACCCCTCGGGAGATGTACCACTGCCTCCTGGGGATTGGGCCTAAACCAACAGTTGGACATCCTGTCACAATCCGGGACCACAAGCTCCTAACAGCTCACCTGCCTGCTTGCCTGATCACCCCTAACTGCCCCCCCGTCGGCCTAGTTGCCCCCAACTGCCCCCCCAGCAGCCTGGTCACCCCCAACTTCCCGCCCAGCCGGCCTGGTTGCCCCCAACTGCCCCACCCAGCTGGGCTCATTGCCTTAACCGCCCCTGCTGTCCTGGTCACTCCTTACTGCCCCCACTGACGGACTGGTTGCCCCCAATTCCCCCCCACTAGCCTGGTCACCCCTCACTGCCCCCCCTGCCAGTCTGGTTGCCTCCAACTGCCCCCCCTGCCAGCCTGGTCACCCCACACAGCATGCTGCTCAGTTGTTTGGTCGCCCCTCACTAAGCCCCCTGCCGGCCTGGTTGCCCCAAACAGCCTGTTCTGTCATCTGTTCAGTTGCAATGGTCACTTAGGCATATATATATATATATATATCTATCTATATCTATATATCTATATATATATATATATAGATATATAGATATAGATAGATATATATATATATAGATAGATAGATAGATAGATAGATAGATAGATAGATTTTGCCCTATAGGAAAGCAGATACACATATCAAGGGTAAGGTTTGGTAAACAGTAAAAATATTATCAGGTTGGGGGAACTGCCCTCAACTGTCTGGCAGCAGGCAATAATATATGCAGATTTTCAGCCCTGCTGAAGCCCCAAGGTTCATCAACCTTTTGATGAATTTTTTTGCATAATTGTGACCTGCTGGAATTAGCCTCCAGCATGGAGTTGTTGCACTTCTCTTCCAAAGAAAGAAAGATGTCCATCACTTCTGGAGTGAGGCACTACCTTGGGAAAATGAGGCATGGGATCGAGGCAGTCTAGTGCTCCCTGCTGGCAGTTTTCCTAGTGAGAGTAGCAGTTTCAATGGCTCAGTTGTTACAGAAGTTACCAGATGGCGGGAAGACACATAACAGGCACTTGGAAGATTCAGAAAATGCACTTTAATTGCAGGAGCATGGGTGCTGTGACTCAGGGGAATCAGTTCCCAAAACTGAATGCCTAATGCAGTGGTACTTTCCCTTTTACCCCCCCTAGTTTCTTTGTCTCCCAGATATGGACTAGGCCTGTGGTCGGCAAACTGCGACTCTTTGGCCCCTTCAGTGTGGCTCTTCCTAAGCCTTAGGAGTACCCTAATTAAGTTAATAACAATGTACCTACCTATATAGTTTAAATTTAAAAAATTTGGCTCTCAAAAGAAATTTCAGTCGTTGTACTGTTGATATTTGGCTCTGTTGACTGAGTTTGCCGACCACTGGACTAGGCTTCCGGACTTTTTGTGGGCTTTTGCAGCCCCTGTGACGGTTGTAAGTTGGGGGAGTGAGACAGTGACCAAGACCATGTTTGGCACTGGCAGTCAACCTCATTGTGGGGCTGTGTATGGTTTATAGCTCCTGTTAAGGTAAGCATTCAGGGAGACAGGTTTTGCAAGGCTAGCTAGGACACAAGTGGAAAGGAGGTTGGGGCTTAATTATATAGGCTTGTATGCATGTGTCAGAATGCAGGTTTGACTGGGCACAGACCTAGGCTGCCACCCTGAATTGCCTTCACAAGTAAACAAACTCCTTGAGGTAAATTTGCACAATAGCACAGTAAGTGTGCAAAGGGGAAATGGACCTGTTTCTTAGCCAGGAGTAGTACTACTGAAGTTGTATAAAGTTATTGTAGCCTGTTGATGACAAACTGATAGACTTTGAATTATTTTATTAATTGTTTATAAATACTCTGAGACTATATATCCTTCCTGCCTGCATAGGGCACACAGTTCCCCACTGACACTCCCACAGTCCTCTGCTTCCCTAGACTAATACTCCATTGGAAGAAGAAGAATGAAACACGACATGCATCACTAAATTTACCTTATTATTATCCTACTAATGTCTACAGGAGAGGTAAAACAACACAATTTGGTAGATCCAAAGATGGGAAAGTAAAGGGAGGGACATATAAGTTTTTGCTTTGCAAGGTCAGTCATACTGATTGTTTTATTAAAGAAGAGAACACTGAAAGATGAGCAGGTTTGTGTGGAAATTCCTTACGTTTGTTCTTGGACAGGTTGACTTGGGATGTTAAATCCCCCAAATTATTACTGCATCGACTTTATTAATAAAACAAAGCTAAACATATTGGAATTTGCAGTGGGAAAGTCCCGTAGTTCCCCCTTATCCACAGTTTCATTTTCCTTGGTCTCAGCTTGATTTCGTTTCCAATCATCAACCAAGGTCTGAAAACATTAAATGGACAATTCCAGAAATAAAGAACTTATGATCTTTACATTGTACACCATTCTGTGTATCATGATGAAATCTCATGCCATATTGCTTTGTCCCAGCTGGGATGTGAATAATCCCTTTGTCAGTGTATCCACACTGTGCATAGAGCACAATAAGATTTTGAGAGAGAGAAGCCACATTTATCTAACTTTATTACAGTATGTTGTTATAATTGTTCTATTTTATTATTAGTTATTGATGTTAATCTTTTACTGTGCCTGATTAAAAATTAAACTTTAAAGTGTGCCTGGTGGTCAGAGTGGGACCATCCAGATTGCAGCTCCTCAGATCCATAAGGGACACACTCAGAGTGCAGACTCAGTGAGCACCAAAGCCCCACTGAAGCAAGTCTTGCCCCAGAGGGGTGTCTCCAGCACAGAAGTTCTCCCACTGCAGACACAGCTGATTCTCACAGCCAATTGACCTGGAGGTCAATCCCTCCCAGTGATACCTACAACAATCAAGGCTTAACTACAACAAGACTGTGCACAAAGCCCACAAGGGGGTGCACCAAGAGTGTCTACCTGCCAAAACCGGTTTGGCTCAGCGGATAGAGCATCAGCCTGCGGACTGAAAGGTCCCGGGTTCGATTCCGGTCAAGGGCATGTACCTGGGTTGTGGGCACATCCCCAGTAGGAGATGTGCAGGAGGTAGCTGATCGATGTTTCTCTCTCATTGATGTTTCTAACTCTCTATCTCTCTCCCTTCCTCTCTGTAAAAAATCAATAAAATATATTTAAGAAAAAAAAAAGAGTGTCTACCTCAGGTGAGGCTGAGCCACTGGGCCCTATTGGACACCTAGCACAGAAAGCCACTCTATCGACACAGCGAAGCATAAAAAATGTGGAGACAACCAGGACAAAAATGCAGAAATGGAGGAAAGCAAAATACTGGATATAGAGTTCAAACCACACTTAAGGTTTTTCAAGAATTTTCTAGAAACCACCGATAAACTTAATAAGACCCTCAAGGAATCTAGTGAGACCCTCGAGGTTGTGATAAAGGACCAACTAGAAATTAAGCATACACTGACTGAAATAAAGAATATTATACAGACTCCCAACAGCAGACTAGAGGATCGCAAGAATCAAGTCAAAGATTTGAAATACGAAGAAGCAAAAAATACCCAACCAGAAAAGCAAAAAGAAAAAAGAATCCAAAAATATGAAGATAGTGTAAGGAGTCTCTAGGACAACTTCAAGTGTACCAACATCTGAATTATAGGGGTGCCAGAAGAAGAGAGAGAGCAAGATATTGAAAACCTATTTGAAGAAATAATGACAGAAAACTTCCCCTACCTGGTGAAAGAAATTGACTTACAAGTCCAGGAAGCACAGAGAACCCCAAACAAAAGGAATCCAAGAGGACCACACCAAGAAACATCATCATTAAAATGCCAAGAGCAAAAGACAAAGAGAGAATCTTAAAAGCAGCAAGAGAAAGAAAGTCAGTTACCTACAAGGGAGTACCCATACGACTGTCAGCTCATTTCTCAACAGAAACTATGCAGGCCAGAAGGGAGTGGCAAGAAATATTCAAAGTGATGAATAGCAAGAACCTACAACCAGGATTACTTTACCCAGCAAAGCTGTCATTCAGAATTGAAAGTCAGATAAAGAGCTTCACAGATAAGGAAAAGCTAAAGGAGTTCATCACCACTAAACCAGTATTATATGAAATGCTGAAAGATATCCTTTAAGAAGAGGAAGAAGAAGAAAAAGGTAAAGATACAAATTATGAACAACAAATACACATCTATCAACAAGTGAATCTAAAAATCAAGGGAATAAATAATCTGATGAACAGAATAAACTGGTGAATACAGTAGAATCAGGGGCATAGAAAGGGAGTGGCCTGACTTCTTGGGGGGAAAAGGGGTGTGGGGGATGCGGGAAGAGACTGGACAAAAATCGTGCACCTATGGATGCAGACAGTGGGGGGTGGTGGGGGTGAGGGCAGAGGGTGGGGTGGGAACCGAGTGGAAGGGAGCTATGGAGGGAAAAAGAGGAACAACTGTAATAATCTGAACAGTAAAGATTTAATTTTTTTTAAAAAAGGAATAAAACCCATTTCAGTGGTTGAACCAGAATGAGGTTTAGAGCCCAGTCAGCCTGACCTCTGCTTCGCCCTCTAATGGTGGCTCCAGAGGCACCCAGTGACTACTAAGGTAACTGTAGAATCTCAAGGGTGATGACTCAGGCTCATTTGCATACCCATAATACCCTGCACGGAGTACAGTCCTTTTCAAGTTTAAAAGACCTTTTTTTTAACTTGTCATTTCTAAGTACAAGAAACTTACTTGAAAAACTTCTTGTGCCAACTTTGGGCAGAAAATACCTCTAGCGCTAAAACGCCACCATAACTGAACTAGGAGTTGTAGTTCCTGGAGAAGGGAACTTGGGAGCAATAAAGTATACTCTGGCTCCTTCTCAAATCAGGTTAGCCTTCTAACTTTTATTGGAGATTTCCGTGGAGAGGAACAGCTTGGAGCTTATACTCAGTTTTTTTTCTTTCTTTTGGATATATTTTGTTGAATTTTTTACAGAGTGGAAAGGAGAGGAGTAGGGAGTCAGAAACATTGATAAGAGAGAAATGACTGGAATTGGGCCTTGGGGCCAACGCTCTATCCACTGAGCCAAACTGGTGAGGCTATGCTCAATTTTTGGCGGCCTGGTTTTTTTGGCAGGGCTAATCTTGTGGTTAAAGAGAAAGAGGACTTCTGTTTTTTTAACTTGGGCTGGATCGGATTTATAATTGGGGCCACTGCCCTTAATATCAGCAACCCGACAATTAATTGATTAGCAATTAGCTCAAACGCCGGGAAAATCCTGTGGGTTCCCCGAGCCACAGACAATGGCTACCTACAGCCTGGCAAATGAGCAACGACTACGCGCCTTGGAAGACATTGAACGGGAAATCTGCGCCATCCTGCAGAATGCAGGTACCGTGATCCTGGAACTTTCCAAGGAAAAAACCAAGGAGCAGCTGCTACACCGACAAGCGGCGGCTTTCACGGCGTCGGTGCAACATGTAGAAGCGGAGCTGTCAGCTCAGATCCGCTACCTAACCCAGGTGGCCACAGGGCAGCCCCACGAGGGCTCCAGCTACTCTTCAAGCAAGGACTGTCAGATGGCTCTACAGCGAGTGGACTATGCTCGCCTCAAGCTCAGCGATGTGGCCCGAACCTGTGAGCAGATGCTGGAAAACTAAGCCAAGTAGGCAGAGAGACATCTTGGAGGCAGATCACCACCTGTCCCCCGGGACAGAACCTGGGGACCTGTAGATTGAGGAGCACAGGCTGCCATGCATGCCCTGCTGGTCATATAGGAGGACAAAGAGGCAAAAGGTGGGAATGGAGAAACTTCAAGTCCACGCCTGCCCATGACTCTGTGCTGGCTCCTCCAGCAGGTGCTCCTGCTCTGACTTCACCAAAGTGCTGACAAACCTCAGACAGGAGATAAAGAGTCAGTCACCCAACCCACTTCTTCAGATACTTCATGTCCTTGTCCCCTTCCGCAGACTTGACCCAATGAAGACACATTTTTTTTTTCACTGGGAGAGATAAAGCAGGAACTAAGGGTTTTAATAATAAAAAAACAAGAAAGACGACTTCTAAATTATAAATAAATAAATAAATAAATAAATAAATAAATAAATAAAAGTTAAACTTTATCATGGATATGTATGTACAGGAGAAAACATAGTTTATATAAGGTTTAGTACAACTCAAGGTTTCAGGCAACCATTGGAACATAAACCCCAAGGATAAAGGAGGACCATTGTATTCTGAAAGGGTCTTGGTGTCTCAAAAAGGGGACATCAAAGTGAGATATTTATTAATCTTTGGGGTCTGGGATCAGGAAGGTTAAAAGATTTTTCAAGACAGAGAACTTGAAAATTGGGCAACACTCATAAAATTATAGTTTAGAATTGCTAGCCACAGCAAAGCAAGGTTAGTAAAGTCAATCTTAATAAATGAACTTGCTTAGGTGAGCAGAATCTCTCTAAATTGATCTTCAAGAATTTCTTTTTTAAAATATATATTTTTATTGATTGAGGCAGGGAGAGGCAGGGAGAGGGAGAAAGAGAGGGAAACATTGATGTGAGAGCAAAAGATTGATTGGCTGCTTCCTGTAAGCCTCCCACCAAGGATCTAGCCCACATCCCAGGTATGTGCCCTGACCAGAAACCTAACAAGCAACCCCTTGGTGCACAGGCCAACACCCAACCAACTAAGGCACACCAGCCAGGGATTACAGTCATGTGTGTGTGTGTGTGTGTGTGTGTGTGTGTGTGTGTGTAAAAGTTCACTGGAACAAATGACAAGGACAGTTTGATCTCAGTTCTCACAGGCAACTTTTGAGATATCCAAGGGCACATGTTGCATAACTCAGAGGGATAGTATGAAATTTAGGAGTAATCATTATATAGACTAATAAAGATCTGGAGAGTGTTCTCTTCAAGATTACCCAGGGAGAGAAAAAAGGTAGACCAGGACTGGGTATTAAGAAACGTCAACATGTAATAGCACAATGTAGAGATAAACATTCAAAGGATATTGAGAAGAGGTAAAAAAAAAAATATGAGTGTGAACAGGAGCATGTAAGGAAGATACATCAAGAAGGAAAGAGTGATCCAAAATGCCAGTGCTGTTGAGTGTTAGGGAGATATGAGGACTGAAACGTCCATTTACTAATTAGAAAGTCATTGTTAATCTTAGTGTGAGCTGTTGGGGTGATTTTGTAAAGAAAAAAAACAGATAAGAAACTATTAAAAAGGATGTGAATGGATAGGAAATGGAAGGTACATCAAGAATTTTTGCTGAGCAAGAGAAGAGAAAGATAAGTAATTGGTAATTGTAGGAATGTGAAAAGTTGATTGTTTTTCAGGCGGAGAGATTTGAATATATTTAAATATGCATATTATCTGCTGCTATTCTCAGTCAAAAAATAAATTCTTCATTCCTTCCTTCTTTCCTTTCCTTCTTCCCATATCCTTCCTTTCTTCCATGTACTGATTCATTTATTCATTTTATCCAGCAAAGAGAACAGACCTTGGCCCTAGGAACTGACAGTCTCATGAAAGTTGAATATGTAGAAGGGAAATGTGAGTAGGTGGATAAATATCTTATCCCTGTTTTTGCATCATTAGTAGAAATGTAGTTTAAGTTAATATTGTTCTATCCCAAAGGGAAGAGTTTACATTACTTTACAATATAAGTATTCAGCCGAAGATTGGACTGTGTTTTGAAGCTTCAGAATCAAATTTCCTCCAGATATAGCTGGCTCCATACTGGGAAGAAACTTGTGACCTCGAGCTTATTAACATGATGAAACAATCCAATGAATTAGCAGGTATAAGCCTAAGACAAAATAGGACATCAATTTTTTTTTATTAATTGTAAAAGCCTAAGTTGAGGGTGGGGGAATAAATTTCAATCTGTTGAGATAGTGTACATTTAAGTATTCACTTAATATTACTGTTCAATCAAACTTTCCTCCATTTCAATGCTAAAATATTCATTTTCCTCCAACCCCTTAAACCAAAGGTGCTATAAGCAAACTAGAATATACATAGGAAGTCATGCTGCATTCTCATGTTGCTAATTGGAATTTGGATGAATATAACATAGAAGCAAGACAAGACAAGAGTATAGTATTTCCATTAGCTTCTCTACCCATGTTCCTGCATCTTAATCAGAGCCTTGTTAATATTTAAATATGCATTTTAAGCCCCGAGTGTATAAACAGTCATGGAAGTTTCATTAATAACTGTAATTTGTATAAAAGGATATATACCACAGACAAATGCTCAAATGTGTAGTTTAATTGGAGTTATAAAAACTTATTTTGTAGCTCAGAAATGTAAAAAAAAAAAAATTGCAGCAGGAAATGAACTTATTTTTAGCTACTAAGATGCACTGTGGTTTATCATTTATTGAGAAAAGATTTTTATTTTAAGGTAATATTTCTCCATCAGCTATGTACTTGCTGTGTTGTGTTTTTTTTTTTTTTTTTTTTTTTTTAATGTGGGGCTATTTGGAGATAGAAAAATGAGAAAAGGATCTGCAGGGGAAAGAGATATTGACATCACCTGAAATGCCTTCCATTCTGCAGATTCTGAGCTCTGCAGCCTTCAAAAGGGCCATAATGGAGCAGAGAGAGCTGTCACTCTAGAGCTGTGTCTCTTTTCTCCTTCATCAGTCATGCTTCAAATGGGTCCTTCTGCAGAGCAGTGGCTTGAAGTAACAATCACCCTCCCCTCCTCACAGCAGTCTGCCACAGAACAAAGCCCCTGGAATAATGTCAGTTGAAATGATGAAGTATGTCTTTTCTATGCATCCATAAGGATACTTATAGTGTCTTCCTGGTTCTAAAGGAGAGGATATAGTTCATTATTAGCAACAGCTCTAAATCTTTCTTACTATGTGCAACTTAACTCTTTTATTAACCATAGAACTTATATGTATATTAGAGGCCCAGTGCACGAAATTTGTGGTCCCTAGACCTGCCTGGCAATCAAACCACAAGTGTCTGGCATGGAAGGGCAGGTCCCAGCTGACCTCTGGGCCCTGGGCAGCACCTGGGCCCCTGGACCCCCATGTGTCCCCCTCCGCCTGGGTCCTCAGGCCCCTGCCCAGCTCCCTCAGCACCTGGGAGCTGGGCAGCAGCCCTGACCCCCACTGCTGCCATTGGTTGCTGTCTACAGGGTGATCAGCAGGGTGATTGGGCCCAGCTCACACCCACCTTGGCCTAGCACCACCCACACACCTGCTCCACCATCCCGCCATGGTCCTGGTCTCATCGGGGCCCTGGCCTCCGCTGCTGCCCGCTGCCAGTTGCTGATGCATGCTATGTTCCGCACCGCCCCTTGGTGGTCAGTGCACATTATAGCGAGTGGTTGAACTCCTGGTTGAGGGACAATTTGCATATTAGCCTTTTATTATATATAGATAAAAATAACTCATGGACACAGACAGTAGTGTGGTGAAGGTCTGGGACAGGTGAAGGGGGTGGGCTAGAAGGGGTCAATAGAGAAAAAGGGGTACATCTGTATTACTTTCAACAATAAAGATAAATTAAAAAAAAACAAACAAGAGGAAAGATACCAGGAACTTTCTAACACATAACAAACATTAGATTTCTATTCTTAGAATAAGCTCTGACTCAAATACTGTTTTATACTAAGTATTAGTATGGAATATGCATCCAGCAAGAAATTTACGGAGAAGAAACATGTCTTTAGAGTTATATGATAATCACTCATGAGATGTTGCTAGTCATCCCCAAAGCTTTTATGGAAAAAAAAAGCTTTACATCAAAACAAACAGATTGAATTCTTTGCAATTTTAGCAAGTGGGTTGACTGAGAATTCCTCTCAGAGGTAGTTGATTAAGCTGTGACTGTAGGGGTCGTTTACTTGATGCATACACTATGTAAAGGTCAGGCCTGCGCATGAATAGCTACTCTGTAAAAAGCCTACCTTCCCCAAAAACATGATTGCCGCTGTACTGCCGCACAGTATTGTCTTGGCATTACTGGGAAAGAATAAAAGCCTCAAACCTTCCATTGCCCTGCAAGACCCAATATCACAAAATTCCCTCTTCTGCCCCTCACATTGCATCTCCTGTTTTCTCCCCCTCCTGGTCAGCTCCACTGCAAGCATAGGCCACCCTGCTGTTCACTAGGACACTCCCTTCACAATTTCATCTTTGTCTGACTTGTTCTTCCTTTACAGATTCGCTTGGCTAGCTCTGTTTCCTCTTTCTGTATTTTCATAGCATTTATTACTATCTAACATGAAAATAGAATTTCTATATTTATTATGCTTATTGATCATTGTCTGTCTCATACCTCCAAGAAAAAATTCATTTACTTCATATTATCTCTTTGAGTAGGACTCTATGTTGTTAATTGTATCCTAAGTGTCGATATCTGTACCTGACACAGTGTAGGCACTCAAATACTTATTGAATGAATGAATTAGTGAAACCATGAACCATCTTCTTTTCTCATTACCTTGTAAGACACTCGCTACCTACTTAAAAGTAATTAACTCAGCAACTTAATTTCCTATTAACAGATTCCCTGTTTTAGGTTCAAGCTCTGACACCAGGAGGTCCTTAAAGTAATGCATTTTTTTAAAAAAATATATTTTTTTATTGATTTCAGAGCGGAAGGGAGAGGGAGAGAGAGATAGAAACATCAATGATGAGAGAATCATTGATTGGCTGCCTCTTGCACGCCCCCTACTAAGGATCGAGCCTGCAACCTGGGCATGTGCCCTTGACCAAAATCAAACCCGGGATCCTTCAGTCCACAGGCTGATGCTCTATCCACTGAGCCAAACCAGCTAGGGCAAGTAATGCATTTTGATAACTGCAATGAAATAACACTTAACTATATGCAAATTGTGCTTATCAAATGACATACTTTGTATTTAAAGTATCAGGGATCTGAGAGAATCATACTGAGAATCTAGATTTTGATGAGGGGACTTGGAAAGAAAGTTTGCTACTCTAGTGTATGGGGCAAAGGGAAGGAGCTGGTTATTCCAAGGTGCATTGAGAAGAAAAAGGAGAGGGGTAGAGGTGAACCTAGATTT